GAATACCGGGAAATGTCATCTTTCAAGGTCATTTAGATGTCCTGGTAGAGTTACATTTGTGGAGTTCTTGATGCTCTCTGAGCTTGGTTGCAGATGTTTCATTACCCAACTAGGTAACATCATCAGTGCAAGTGAGTGTGGGATTTGCTCCCTGTTTATATACAGTAAAATATATACATCCTGCCAGTGTAGGTGGGGGTATGGTTTCCTCCTTGGTGGTTCTTTGATTAAGGTATTGTTTTCTGCTTGATTGTTTGGTGATTATCCCTGCTTGTCTGGGTGTTGGCTCCTGGAGGGGATGTGTTCTGATCCTTTTGTTTCCTACACAGCTTTTTGTTGTCTCTTTTGAATGGTGTGTAAATATGGTTTATTTCTATGTGTCAAGAATTCCCTAGCATTTTTGGATTTGGCTTGGTCTAGGATGCTCACAGTTTCCCAACTGAAATTGTGGTTGAGTCCGTCCATGTGTTATGAGATTAAGGAATTTTCATTGTGTCTTCTGACTGCTAATGGGTGTTCATGGATGCGCTCTGCTAGTCTTCTGACTGATTATCCTACATAGTGGCTGTTACAGTCCTTATACTGTATGTTGTAGATAACTCTTGTTTTTTCTTCTTGGGCTACTGGGTCTTTTGGTTTATGTAAGATGTTTTGAAGGGCTTTAGTTGGTTTGTGAGTTTGTGAGTTTGCTTGTGGTTTAATTGGTTTGTGAGTAGAGTTACATTTTTCTAGGGTCTCTAGTACCTTGGCTGTCGCTGAAGAAATGGCAGGAAGAGGGGAGAGAAAGCTATCTTTTCCCTTTGTCTCCATCGCTATTGTTGCCACAGCTAGATGTTAGGAAGGAAAATGCTGTATGCTGTAGCTATCACTACAGTATTAGAAAATTAGGAGTGAGTAAAGGGTTTGAGGAAGGCATGAGCTCTGGGGGCGGGGTGTGTGCATGTGTTAATCCTCTTTGTCCTCCCAGTGACATCATCTGGACTGTGACAGGCTCTTGGGTTGCTAAAAATAGCTGGCTTGAGAAATACCTGAGCTATTTGTGACTTTTGAGTAAATATCCTTAGTTATTCAAGCTGTATCCTGAATCATGCATTGGGAAGGTGGGTTTCTCTCAAATGAACTGTATGCTATGCATATTTACAAACATGTTTGCCTTATTAGGTACTATTTCCAATATTATCAGCTGGATCTAGAAGAGTCCCCTTATGGAAAGATTGTCTGCATCTGGAAGATGCCAGTCTTCCTGATCTGTATTCATACACAAAATTAGCAAGCTCATTAGATTGAGGGAGACAGCATCAGTCAAGGAAGATATGCAAACCCTAATAAAATGAAACAGTATAAGTGAAAGATTAAAAAGTAATGGCCTGTATAAGTTACCTCTCTTTTCTAGTCTTCTACTTTTATAAGAATAAATAGTATGTATGAGAGTGAGTAGGGATAGTTGTGTGTTCAAGGGTGTGGATCTGTTTATCTGCATATAATTTTTGGTATGGGAATAGCCATTGGGTGGAAGGTTGTATGTTTCCATGTGAATGTAAGACTTATGAAGGGAAGATATACTTGAGTGAGTAGAGGTTGTATGTATATATGTATATATTGCCAGGATGGAAGTTGCGGCAGGCAGATTGTGTTTGTTTCATAGTACAGGTAATCCTCATATAGCAACCACAATTGGAACTGGCAACTTGGTTGTTAAGTGAAGCAGTCATTAAGTGAAACCATGACTGTGGTTATGATTTTACTTCAGCTTTCCTTTGCTTTACAGACCTATCAAGGATTGGTTGTAAAGTTACTTTTTCATCACTGTTATAACTGCAGGCAGTCACTAAATGAGGCAGCCACTAAACAAGGACTACCTTTATGTGTGGGTGTGTCTGTGTATTCAGTTGCATGGTGGAAGGTATATCTCCAGGGTCTCAGACGTTACCTTGGGCAGAAGGTCAGGGAAAGAATTTAACTCCAAGTTCAGCTCCCCACTGGGAAGGCAGCACAAAGTGTCGGGCATACAGATTCTGAGAGCTGGAGTATCAACTTAACTAGAAGCCATCTAGTAGGGAAGGTTGGAGCAAATAACATCTATGCAAATCATCTGTGATTAACAAAAGGAGCATGGCGGGCCTAAAAGGGGACTGCAGAGGAAAACATCTAGTGTTAGTTGTACTATAATACCTACTGTTATGCTAAAGGAGGTACTAACTTAAAATCATATCATGTCCAGGCTGTGACATTCCCGCACAGAGTATCTAAATTAGTTTGCAAAACCTTCCCCTGAACCACTGGCTTATAAAGCAGCGACTGCAACAAGAAGGCTTAATTAAATTCAATGAAGCAATTAGAAATGCATGCTGTTTAAATGAAAAACAGATGCTTTATGGTTACTGATGGGAGCTGTGGATCAATACCTCTATATTTATCTGGTATTTGATTATAACATTTAATCATGGAATCATGAAATTGGAAGGGGCCTTTTAGGTCATCAGGTCTAACATCTTCCTCAATGCCAGAAGCCAAATTAAAGATTTTTAATAGAAAGCTGTCCAGCCTCTACTTGAACACACTCAGTGAAGATAAGGCCACTTTTCTGGATAATTGGTTCCACTGTCACTGCTCTTACTGTCAAATTTTTTAAAACTTCTCATCCAGTCAGAATTTGTCTTCTTGTAGCTGAAATCCATTTTTCCATGTCTTGCACTTAGAACAATAGCATTAAGGACACCTAGAACAACCTTTACCTTCTCCTTTGTGATGTTGATGGAGATATGTGAGGAGTGCTGTTGTGTCCCTCATTGGTCTCCTGTTCTCATGGCTAAATATCCCAGCTCCTGCAGTTTCCTCAAACAATGTAATTTCTAGTTCCCCGATTAACCTAACTGATCTTCTCTGAATCTCCTCCAAGTAGTCTGAATGCTTCTTAAAGTATAGTGCTAAAATCTAGACACAGAACTCAAGGTGGGATCTGATCAATGCAGAATAAAATGGAACTATTATTTCTTGTCCTTTGGAAGCCATCATACTGTTCATACATCCTGAAGTTCTACTTGCCTTTTTTGCAGCTGTATCATGCTGCTGACACTTACTCAGTTTGCAGTCAGTTATTATTCCAAAATTGATTTACAAGCACTTTATTACCAAACTAGGTATCCCAGATCCTACACCTATGCATCTGATTCCTGTTTTCTGTGCGAAGAACTTTGCAAGTCTCTTGAATTTCATTCTTTATTTTCACCTATTTCTCTATCCTATCAAGATCATTTTAAACTGTATTTCTGTCTTCTAGTCTGTTAGCTATTTCTTGCTTCTTGTTATCACTCTTACCCACAGGGACAATTCCTTTGCTTCTCTTCCCTATGGAGAGTTGCTTCTTCTGTCAGCTCATGTTGTAGCACTTCCTTTGTTTGTTTGATAAACCTTTATCCTCGTGAGCTGAAGTATGGTCATTTGTTGCTATAGTTCTTACTTCTTCTTCAAGCACAGCTGCAAATTTATATTTCCTGCAAACATAAGCCAGATTGTTTTCAGGCAAGAACATAAACATACCACAAGGCATGCAAGTCATAGCTGCAGATACCTTTCAGTAACTTCAGGTTTATTTCATAAGACATCACCAGTAGGAGGCCTCCTACTCCTCCTGATTCTTGTTCATCTCCTTCCCTTCTTCTTGTTCCCGTCTCAGGTTTTCCAGTGAGGGAAAGTTTGTAAGGGATTTCCCATAAACTCTCTTGCTGGTGGACTTCCATTTACTCTCTCCATTCACTCATCCAGTAAATAAAATGTATGTCTTGTTTTACAATAGATGAAATAGCTGCTTTTAAAACAAACAAGGAAAACACTGGGTTTCTATGATAGAAGCACTAATGGATATAGGACTTTTATTTACATTTGGGTGTTTGCGTATATATGCACACAGGTGCACAAACACACAAACATGTCATCATGAAGGGTAATTTTATACAGATAACTATATAAGAAAATCATGATACTGTAAATATTCGTAGAGTACAAATCAGATCGTATTGGCTGCTTGTTGTGCTTGTAGGGGGTTCATGGGAACTGAAGTCTAATAACACCTGGAAGATTTATGTGAGGCCAGCTTGGGTTCATGAGACCATTCCCTAGCTGAAACCATTCCAGCAAACTGTGGAAGCAAACAGGATACAATTAAGTTGGTTGTGGGTTAAGAACTGTTCATAATCAAGGTGTATAGTTTTAATCATAGTTATAGAGCAATAAGACCCCTTCTGTTCAACAGAGCTAATTGTGAGTAATTATGTATAAGTTTTAGAATAACCTTGGAGCAAAAATACTGAATTTAAAGTTTCTTTTAATTGCAATCCTAATATAAAGCAATCATACTTATGTACGTTATATTTTTAGCCTGGATGTGTAAATACGACTGAAGTTGATATTAAAAAGTCTTCAAGAATGAGAAATCCTCACAAAACAAGAAAGGTATGTTCTTACCTTTAGTAATTATTACATATAAACACATTTTGTTTTTCCTTACACTGAAGACATCCATTATAATAGTTCTGGGTATGTACGGTGATAGAAAGCTCTTTTTAAAAATGGAAACAGGCTTGGGTTTATTCTAGTTGCAAGTGTTTTTTTTTTTTTAATGGAATGAATGTTCTTATGTTCTAAAAAATTATTCTCCAGCCCCTTGAGAAATACACTAACCATTGCCAGCTCTTGATCTTGATTAAGCAAACTGAACACTTTTTCAGATAACAGAAACTGCTGTGGATAGTCACAGTAGGACCCATTCCATGTTCCTCTTCTGTGAGAGCAAATGTAACATTGGTGCTTAGAACATGACCTTTCAATAAACTGTTTCTTCACTTGTGACTCAAATCTCATCTCTATCCTGTTCATCAAGAACAGATGAATTTAATGATGAATCTCACCATCATGAACAACTGCTAGAACATCAGGAACTGTGGTGTCCGATATGACTAGTGGCCACTTGGTCAGATATTGTTGCATGAATATTTTTAGTATTCATAAAATTTTTCTGGCAATATTAACTGCACATCTGAAACAAGTATTGCATATGTGAGTTCCAACAATAAGGCTACATAACTGCAGCAGAGGAACTGGACCTTGATTTAGTCTTTGAAGGAAAACTAATCCTCCTTTTTAAACAAAATTAGAAAATGCAGTGACAGAGAGAGATTCCCAACCCTAGCTACAAAGGTATCCAACTTCAGAATGAAAAAGTGGTGACATTTGCAAATATTAAAATTAAAACTGCATGTTTGTCACTGGATTAGAATTTCACTGTATTGTATGTTTTTCAATGAAAGAAGATGGCAATCCAAAATGCAATGTGGTTCAATTAAAATATTAGTGTTTAAGCCAATAATCAGCTTTGTTACAGTAGGTTATAATGACATTTTGGCTGCTGTATATGTAAAAGAGTTGTGCCAAGAATTAGTCACATCTCAAATGTCTGGCATACTCTGAAGATGTATACAAATAATAGTCCATCACAGCACTTGTAACTATTAAAAAATAAGTCCACAAGCACAACAGCTGTTTCTGGATCTCTAGATAGATAGAAACACCCCTACACATCTTCCTTTTTGATTTAAGTAAAAATACAAAAAACAAAAAACAAAAAAACAAAGCACAGAAAAGGAGTAAGAAACAGTAAACCAAAGAACTTTAAGATATGAGATAAGAAAAGGACATCCACTTAAATCTGTTAATACCAACATCATTCACTGTACTTTTCTGTCCTTGAAAACTATACTTCTTTCCCTTACGTTCATTCACTGCTTTATGCATTGCTCTTTGTTCCTTGAACTTCCACTTTCTTTCTGTCTCAGGAATTCATCCAACAGACTTGCTCAGTCTTCCACTTTATTCAACCCATTCACCCTACCTTCAAACATTTGTTTGCAATTCTACCTCATTCATTCTGTTTATATGATCAAGCCACCTCAACATACTTCCTGAATTCTGATCATTCATATTTCTATTCAATTGGCATTTATTTTGCACTCATTAATTCTTCACCCTATCTCTTCTTGTTTCTCCACACATGCTTCCTAAGTACCCCATTCCCACTTCATTCAACTTACTTTTATGTTTCCCCTAACATACCCATCTCTCACTCTCATATCACAAAGTTGGCAGAAACATAACAGTGTACTTCTTTTGTCATTCATTCTTTACAACTGACCATATGCCTCTCTACCAGCATTTGCCCATCTTAAAATTTCTCTATCCATTTCTTATCTTTAGAATGTGTTGTACCAAGATACACACAATTTATCTATTTACTTTAATTTTTTACCCTTTATGTATACCTTATAATAGTACATTTCATTTTGCCTGTTAAATTTCTTGATCTTTGATATGTTAATGTTCAGACCATATTCCTTGTTGCATTCTACATTCTCTCTAACTTTCATTGCAGTTCATTTGGGTTCTGAGCCAACATCTTGGCATCATCTGCACATCAAAGTATACACATAATCAACAGAATTCTAATACCACCCCAGACATTCCTTATATATTTATCCATAAGTACACTAAACAACCCAAAGAACCATTACACATCATTCTCTTACTCCCTGACCAATGTTGAACTAATTGCTAAGCATTTCATTTATTTTCTTTATTTCTTTTATATATTGCATTCAATAGCCAACCTTCAATTCCATATTCAAGCCTATTTACTTACATGGCTTCTCTAAATCAACAAACATACAATAAACTTATTCACATTCTGATACTTTTCAGTGACTTGGTGACGAGTAAAAATCTGATCTGCACACCTCTTAGCTAGTATAAAACTGCACTGTATTTATTGTGTTTCTCATACTTTTTCAGTCTGAATTCTGCCAAACTCCTTCTGAAGCATACTTAACAAACCAGTCCCCCTGTCATTGTTGCATTCATTGTTGCTACTTTTCCTTTTGTATAGGAAAGAGTAAGAGCATTTTTCCAGTCATCAGACACATATGCAGTCCTCACGCACTGTTAAACAAGTAACACATCCTCTTCATAAGCAAGCCACATCCATATTTTTACATTTCTTCAGCAGCCTTATCATTTTGCAGCATTCTCAGGGCATGTATTACTCTTGTTTTTCTTAGACACTAGCATTGATAGAATTCTTTTCAGTTTCATTCTTCAAGATATCATTATTATCTCCATACAAAATTCTAAACTACACCTTCAAGGATTTCAGGTTCATCCCAAATAATTTCATCACTTTATCACTTTAAAAGTAAATTTAATTCCATCCCACAATTTCCAAAACAATTTTTATTTACATCAAAATCTCTGCATTTTCTCTCCCTCTTTTAATCTTTAATGAGTCTTATCTCTCTTTACATTCTTTGCAACCATATTTTTCTCCATCTTATATAGTATCTTTCACCATGTATTGCAACATTCATTGTCTTAATATACACCACATCCTCTTTCACATCACTATTCTACCAAGCATTTTTATACTTCCTGTTAGTATAATTCTCACATACATTTGTAGCTCCTTATGATATAATTGCTTTTCTTTTGATGTAAGTGGCTTTTAAATCCTCTTTCCTCATGTTTATTTTCCATTCATTTTGTTGGGAGATTTAGCTTCCAATACTTTTTCAGGCAACTTTGATCATAAACAACCAAACCAAGCATGCCTTTTGATTCATTCCTTTTCTATGTGTACCCATGAATAGATTTATGCTTAAACCATGCATTTTAACATAAATATAACTTAAATGCTTCTCCTCATAACCACTGATGGGAACTGTCAGTCATAGAGTGGAAATATTGATGAGTTGTGCATTCATCCACCTGTATTACATCCTCCTTTGGAGGAAAATGTCTTGTTCAGTAGCAAAGCTTATGCTTTGTATGTGAAAAACCCTACATTCACCCCCAGAATCTCCAAACAGGGCTGGGAAAAGTCAAACATTAAAGTCTGAAGATCTCCTGCTAGTCAAGGCAGAGAGATAGACCAGTGGCCTGACTCCAAGTAGTTCAGCTTCCTGAGATCACTTAGTTGGCTGAATTATAAAGAAGATCACATTATACCAACACAAGAGCATTCACCAGAGATCATAGTTATGTACTGGCATCCTTTAACTTAACTCATACCTGGAAACAGAAAATAGTGAAACAGGTCTTACAATTTACAGTGTGTGTGTATTAGTATGTTTATGTATGTGAAGTTCCACCTTCCCACCAATTTAACACAACGTGGTTACCCAACTGCGTGCACTGTTAATTTGCCTGTGCATAGCAAAACACTGTCTATGTATTAACATCTCTCTTCTGCATTTATATGCAGTCTGTTTATGGATTACAGAATGATATTCGAAGTCATAGTCCTACACACACACCAGTGCCCGAAACAAAACCTCCCACAGAAGAGCAATTGTGTCAAGAGGTTTGTGAGACTATATGTATTTCATTTATTTATCCATGTAACAAAACTAAATGCTGAACTTATGGTATCCTGAAAAATCAAAGTAGCTTGTCTATAAAACAAGTTATACTGTATATTATTTTAAATGAATGGCTGGAATATTTTGAAAATATCAGAACCGAATGAACTGTGCCATTCTGTCAGAATACATGGCAATTCAGATCCATTGTGAACTAACGTAACTCAGGGGGCTCCCAGCCTCTCAGTCTGATGTTGCTTTGTGAAGATAGGACAGGAGCATCAGCTGAGTGTGTTGGAAGCAAATGGGGGAAACAGATAGGAGAGAAAGGGAATGTCTCTCTGAGAATAGCATTGTTTCCAGGAGTTGATTCATGACACACACTATTCTCAGACAGATACTTCCTTCTCTTTCCTGTTTGCACTTCCCTCACTTATTCCTGCCTGTCTCATGGTTGGTGTAGCGCTCCGAACTCCAAGGTATGCTGGCTGGGGAGGCCTTAGAATGAGGAGAAACTGCCCTTCCTGCGAGCCCAGAGGATTCTGTGTGCCCCAGTTATTCCCATGGAACAATCCTTAGGCCCATGAACCAGACATGATTTATTGCAAACCCAATACTTCAAGAATTTTCCATGAGCTACAAAGTCATGTGGACTGCTGACATTTTTTTAGGGTACGATCCAACCCTACTTACATACTTGAACTTCTCAGTGATTTCTAGGCAAGAGGGTTTAGCCAAGGACAGATTCAGCAGGATTCCAAATTGCACAGCCTTGCTTTGAATCCTGATTTTAATAAATATTATGGAACACGTCTGTATGTATGATTGTAGGGGTGGTGAAGGGGGGCCTCTTAGATTGATGGCAGAAACTACCCACAGCTAAATACATTTGGATTCTTTTTGTTTTAATGGGAGCTTTAAGGATGTGGATCAGGCAAAATCCCCATCCTCTTGGATTTAATGGCAAAAGTCCTTTCAGTATTATTGGCTGAGAACTGCACTAATAAAAGGTCTTTATCTGAGCTTCTCTTAGCTTAACTTATAAACAGCTCAAGGCACAAGCTCTCATGGCTTAGCATGGGTTCATATGAAATGCTCTGTTTTTCTCAGGCCAAATTTATCTCTGTTTACTCAAACATTAGACCGCTTTTACCAGTTGTTTGTTTTTTGCCTTTTGTAGATAAAATATTGGCAAATACAGCTAGACAGACATCGGTTAAAAATGTCAAAAGTTGCCGAAAGGTATGTATATTACTATGAATTTTTTAAAGCTGATAAGCTGCCATGAAAAAAAAAATGGGAGGAGGAGGGGCAATTATTAAATAAATGATTCCAACATAACTGGCAAAAATGTATTTAGTTAGGCCCTTACTCTGAAAAAATAGGTTCTTAACACTGTTTATAATAAATGCATTGTAAAACTGTTGGCTAATTTTGTTTTTCTAGTCTATTAACTTATACTGAGCAGTATGTGGAATATGACCCTTTTCTGGTGCTGCCTGATCCTTCTAATCCTTGGTTATCAGATGATACTACTTTCTGGGAAACAGAAGCAAGGTATGTTGGATGTGAATTTGCTCTTCCTTTCAAATAAATAGCAGATCTTCAGCCAGATTCCAAGTCAAGAAGGAGAGATAATATTTTTTACAATATTCCCCTGGTAAAGGTTTTCCCTAGTAAAGGACAATCAAGGATTGCAGCTTGGACACAGGTTTTATATTTCTATGTTCTCTCTTGGCTGCGTTATCAAGCAATGCTCTCTCACTAGGATTAATTGCTAGTGTGAAGCAAGGAAAAAACAGAGATGTGGTGGAAGAATTGCACCATGCTGAAAATAGTAGAGTTTCCATATAACCACCCATGTGAATGTGCTAACAACAGAGCCTAATAATAGTGGAACCAAATACACTCTAATGGGATTATTTTTCTTGGCCAAAATGCTGAACTGAACTGATGCTACTTAGTGGATTAACATTCTTTGAACTTTTGGATGAAAAAGGCTTTAGTTATCTGCCTGTACCATAGCTGTTCCATGGTACATATTTACTGCTTCTTTAAAACATGTAATTAAATTAGCCTCATATGTGATTTGGGTCACTTTGCATTGCATGCAGCATCTTCCCCCAAAATCAAGGCAGATACAAAACCAGTGAAGCTATTTCAAGTCTGAGGGATTGTTTGTTTGTTTGCTTGTTTCATTTCAGTAAAGAGCCAAATCAGCAAAGAGTAAAGCGATGGGGATTTGGCATGGATGAAGCTCTGAAAGACCCAGTGGGAAGAGAACAGTTCCTCAAATTCCTGGAGTCCGAATTTAGTTCAGAGAATTTAAGGTTAGCTTCCCCCCCTCCACTCCTTGATATCTGGGCTGCCTAAAGAAATATTATAATTGGGATGAATCTGTTCTTTCTCCTCAGTGAGCTCAGCAGAGCCCACTCTCCCCCACCCATGGGGGTTCTTAAATGAGGCAACAGCAGGAATCCAATTTCACATCTGGCCTAGCTTATATAATCCTTCTGGGAAGGCTTCAGGGATGTTTCCCACTTTTCTTTTCCCCATTAGGGGAGTATATCCAGCAAGTAATCTGCCAGAGGAGAATCGTTCAGCCTTCCTGAGAATCTGACCAAATTATTTTGCCAGGGACCATTGTCAGATTATCCTGTTAATCATCCCTGTCCACATTATATTTTTCTTTCTGATGCTTAGAACAGAAGAAATAAAGGAAAAGCAGATTGACATGTTTTTAAGATCTATGTTTCTGCCTATTTTGTGAAGCCAACTGTTTCTCCACCTCTCTTTCTTTAAAAGGAATTTGCTAGTTCTAGATGTATATAAGAGAATAATTACATTATCTATATATAGGGTGAATTGGTTGAAATAGTGTTGCCCTAGGAAGATAATAGCCAAAGGGTGATACTGTTCAATGTACACTTTGTCCCACTGATTAGTCCTGGACAGTAGAAAAACATTTGATGTAGCAGGAGGAGCTGCAGTTGAATTAAGATATCAACCACCTAGTTATGCATGTTTGGGTGCCTCCTTGTGTTTTTTTTTGTTTTTTTTTTAAGATGTTAGTGATAGAAGGACAATTTCTTAAGGATGTGGATAATGTTTTATTGCATTATCACAGACAATTCAGGTATATTATTTCAATATAACATTCAAAGGAACATCTGCTTTCAGTTTCACAAGGGTAAGAAATTCTTTTAATGAAATAATGAATTTTGAGCTCAAGAAAACAGAGATTTGTAAAGATGCAGATGTTTTGTTTGTGGAACACAGAGTTTTAAAAGGTTAATAATGTGGCTATCCACATTGACAGTTGTATGGAGATGGCACCAGGTACACATAGGCTGGGACACAGAATTATCTGGTTGAAGGGATGTTGGAGGTCTTCTAGTTTAACCCCTGCCCAGTGCAGGAATCTTCATACTATCTCAGACAAATGGCTGCCCAATTTTTTCTTAAATACTTCCACCCACAACCTCAGGAGGCAGACTGTTCCCTTGTTTAATGGCTCTCACAGTCAGGAAATTCTTCCTTGTTTCAAGTTTAGATCTCTCACTGAAAAGCTTCCACCCATTGCTTCTCATCTTACCCTCACCTCAAGGGAGAATAAATCCACACCTTCTTCCTTGTGACAGCCCTTCATGTATTGTATGACTACTATCACGTCTCTCCATAATCTTCTCTTCTTTAGGTTAAACATACCATATTCCTTTAGCCTCCAAGTTCTTTGTCAGTCTTCTCTGCACTCTGCATCAATGCCTTCTATTCACACGCACAGAATAAAGATAAAGCCCAACAGAATTTAGCCAAAAATCTGAGAGGGGCTTTGCTTAGCTCTTTCCTGCTTTATTTTCTTTCTTATAATATTTCTTATGGTTTGGGTTCTTCTTCACTTTATCCTTTGATAGAGCTTCTTGCAAACTCATGTATTTCTCAAGGTGAATTTTAGTTCATTTATTTCATTATCAGCAGGCATTGGTTGATCAAAAATTGAAATTATTGTCTGAGCTGTTGAAAGGCCATTTTAATTACTAGCTTAGAATCCAAACAGGGAATTATCTTCCTCTTTTGTCCTCAGATTATTCCCCATTTCCTAATTGTTCCTTGTCCTCTAGGCATGATAGCTCTTCACTATCCCAATCTAAAACAGCATATTTATTGGAAAATAAGAAGGTACATGACTCACTTGCCATTTCTTTGTGTAGCAACAATTCCTCTATTTTGAGTTGTTTGGAGCATCTGTTGTTCATCTGAGACTCAGACCTCTTCTTCTGACATTTCTTTGGCTCGTTCTTACTCTTGGCCTTAGCTTTGTTGCTGCTTGTGCCATTGTTATTTGCATTCCCCATTTTCATTCCAATATGTGATTACTTCCTATGTAACTCATAGGAGATACAAAAATAAATAAACATGGATTCTCTTGCCACAAAAAGCTCTGAAATCAGGCAGATATGGCAAAAGCCATAGGAAGCTTAGAAGTTGTACTCTTAAGTGTTCGTTATCTTTCAGCCTCCTTTTCTTATAATTTTGATGGAAACTGGGTACAGGTCCATACATGCTGAAATGCAGCCCTCGTATCTTCACTGTTATCTTAACAATGCCTTTAACAGAGAATGTGAGGTCCCCATTCCATTGCATGAACCATCACTGCTGCTGAACATCTCTGGGCATCAATTTCTGTTAGGCAAGCATTTTGTTTGTGAGTAGGTGTCTATTTCTTTTTTTAAAAAATCAAAAAGACAAAATTTGTTCCACATACCTGATGACCCTCTTAGCATAGCTGTGAGCTATGGGTGGTGACTGTAGCCTTCTAGCCTTCCTGACTGGGAATAACGTGAGCTATGACCTTTTGGAAAGGCCAACTGGATGAAGATGCAAGAGATCTCTTGCTTGATGAATACTCCTTGTTAGAATGACTAACTAGAGAATCAAAGAGAGATAAGAGGCCTTGACTGAACACTGTTACTGACCTATCCTTGTGGGCTGAGGAGGTTATTCAAGGTTGATTATGAAAAAGAAACTGTTCTTTGGTGTGAGTTATCCTGTTACATAATTTAAATAGCTATTTAAATATTGACTTGTTTATATTGTGATTTTCTACACAGTCTTCTGCACAAGAGTAATTATATTCTTCTAAACCAAACTGTCAGTTATTGAATCCAAAGAATTTTAATCCAGTGACATACCCTTTTCAATCAGTGCGTTGGTTTAGTGGAACAAGCAAGAGAGCAAGTATTTATTTTTCACTGATTCCTCTACTCTCTGAAGCTTTTTGTCTTTTCAGAAGGTTGAAGGTTATTTGGAAGGGTTAGGGTGTTAAAGGTATAAATCCAGGGGCATTGGCTCTTAGTACCTGATGACCCACTGACCACAGATAGTCAAGGATTTACTCTGTGACCCCTCTTTAGCTATTACTTTGCTTGTCTAAAATATTGCTCTCAGGTCATTTCCTTCTGCTTTCCTTTCCTTGCACATGTGCACATAGGATGTAGGATTTACTTAGCTAGGGACTAAGCTTTGCCTATCCCTATAATGGATTTCCTCTAAATCAATCTCATTTCCTAAAATCTGCTACACTAATCATTGTTTAACTCAGATGTGTGTGCACATGCATGCACAGAATATTTCAACCTCCAACATAGAGTTCCTTTCTAGGACAGAATAGCATCTATCACAGAAGGCTGCAGGAGATCAAAGGAATGATGAAAATTTAGAATGGGTTTGCAATGCATAGATGGGATTGCAAACCCATCACTAGACAGATTCCACTGGTTCCTGTCTGACTCTGGTGTTCCATATATGATTTCTTGGCCACTGTCAATCAAACTAGAATCCTGAAGAAAACTCTCTGGGGATGATTTTTTTCAAATCAAACACTGTACCTGTCTTATATTGATAAATTCTACATTCAGTGTTGACTATTTATGGATGTAATTAAAACAATGGATATCTTCAATCCCATAGTGATTAGAATACTGCAATTTCTCCATTTCTACACTGCATATTGCCAAGTCCTTCAGTTTTAAAGTGTGATTATAGATTACTGAAAGCAGTCACTGAAGACAAAATGAGCCAGTATTGCCTCTAGTTCCCATATCTACAACCACAGCATCGACAGATTCTGGTGTTTCGGTCAAACTGGCAAAACCAATATGTGCCACCATGGTGCACATATAAAAGGGGTGGAGCTTGAATCACAACAGTGCAGCATTTGTTTTATCATTTGTTCCCCCTGGACCCCTTCCCCTAAATGCATCTGTCCACAAGATATGCCTAATAAATAAAATTACACTGCCTTAAATGCAGTTGCCCTCACATTGGAGACACTTGCATGTTCAGCTGCTTTGAACTCAAACCAGGGTAAGAAGCTTGCAGATATCAATCACTGCAAATTTTGACATGTCTATAGACAATTTACTAGCTCCTGGGAGCATCCGCAGTTATTTATCCATCACATTTGGCACTTCCTATAATATAAAGCATTTCTGAAATATTTACACATATATCAAAGTGTCTGTCTGTCTGTCTGTCTGTCTGTCTGTCTGTCTGTCTATCTATCTATCTATCTATCTATCTATCTATCTATCTATCTATCTATCTATCATCTATTGGTTATGTTCAAATACACATTTTGAGAGAAAATACACAAGAACTATATGGATGAGAAATGGCCAGATTCACCTGGTCCACACTAAAGTGTATATGGGATTCCAGATAGATGATGCGGTCCTTTCAGGCTTCTACATGTATTTTTAAAGGGATGTTTTAAAAGTCAAAACAACCTTTTAAGATGACAATATCCTGTCCCATAACTGCTGTTTGCCCATTTCCTTATATAGGTTCTGGTTAGCAGTAGAAGATCTGAAGAAGAGACCCATACGTGAGGTTCCTGCCAGAGTACAGGAAATCTGGCAAGAATTTCTTGCTCCTGGAGCACCGAGTGCCATTAATCTAGACTCAAAAAGTTATGATAAAACCACACAGAATGTGAAGGAACCAGGGCGATATACATTTGACGATGCTCAGGTTAGTAGATCTGTTTGTACAGGTAGGTACAAATGTCTTGATGTTGATGGAGATATAGTGCAGTGAAAAACTGTTTCTGGCTTTACCATTCCTAATATTCCAAATGTATATTTAACAAAAAGTACTATATACATACAATATGCTAAAACTGCTTAAATTCTATTATAATGACTTGCCCACTAATTAAAAATAGGCATGCTCCAATGAATCCTAGATATGATTTCCCTGAAACCAACACAAATGTTGTCTCCTAATAATAAAGTTTCTTAATAAGCATAGATCTTACTGTTGTTTATAGGCGAACAAAGTTCATTTGCATTCTAGAAATTATAGAAGTAATGGAAACGCAATGTAACTTGCTTTCCTCTTGCAGCTAGCTGCACAACTATCCTAAGCAACAGGTCAGTTCCTAAAGTTTTGGGAATGGCCACAGAGCTACTCCAAACTGTAATTTTTAAGGAACAGAAGGAGAAAGTATGACAAAAGCAGGGTTGTGTTGTAGTAATGGAAGCTCTGCCTCTGTTGTACACATAATGTGCGTACAAAAAAGATGGAGCTTGCGTCATGATGCCACAATGCTGCTTTTGTCACTGGCTTGCCTTCATTCCCACTAAGGATGCCTCTGGCTATGGAAGTATTTGATTAAACTGAATTAATTTAATTTAATTTAAAATGAAATAACATTTTGCTTTTATCTTGGCCCTACCTGCTTTTTGCTAAGTGCTCTCCTTGGCTCAAATAACATTATACATTACTCTGCATTAAAACAAATTTTCTACAGAATGTCAACATCTTTTTCATAAATGGTCTTTCCTCCAAAGTATTACATGTTGTTGAGCTTTTCAGTGTGCAAATTGTCCTGTGAATTGTGATATATTGCTTCAGATTAGTTTACTTGGCATTGGGGTTACCAATAAAATTATTAGGCTGTTCTACCCCAAGATGTGACTAGCACAAGAAACAAATACAAGGCCTGATTCAAAATATAAAACCTGTTGTTTACTCACATAGTTTTCAGATGCAAACTGAATACCTGTTTTATAGAAGGCAAGCCACTTAATTAATCCAAACCACCCTAAAACATTTTCAGAAAAAATATTTATTTCCTCAAATGAATTGAAGATCATACCCAAATTCAGTCTCCCCCAGATGTATAAACTAAATCAACTTAGCTGAATTTGATCCTGAACTTACAGCGTGTTGGCCAAAGAGGTTGGCTGTAGCTGCCTGCTTCTTCCGGACAGGGCCAAGAGGCGTAGGGCAGTGTTGTCCAAACTTGGCCACTTTAAGATGAGTGGACTTCAACTCCTAGAATTCCCCAGCCAGCCATGCTGGCTAGGGAATTCTGGGAGTTGAAGTCCACTCATCTTAAAGTGGCCAAGTTTGGACAACACT